AAAAGTAGGTTTCCATTTCAGAAGGGAAGGAATTCAACTAGGCTTTGAAGGTTCTTAATTTCCTTCCTGTTTGTAGCATGAATCTCATGTTATTCAGTTTACTGAAGAGTTCCTGGAAAAGGACTGGAATGGTTGGGCCAAATAGATTAGGATGGCATTGCATGGCGCACATATTATAACCCATTCGTGCAAAGGCTGGTTTTTGTCTGGCTTCAATTTTACTTCCTCTCACTGTGTACCTGCACAGTAATAGATGGCCATTCTTCTGTTTTCAGGTCACTCCTTCTGGTGGATGATCATTTAGAAGATAGATGTGTGGAAAATGATAGTTGAGATATATGTGTGGTAGAATGTGTTTTAGTCCAGCATCAGTAAGGATGAGTCAAAGATTATATAGAGGAGCAAGGATTGACAGAAAATATACATTTTGGGATTTGAGAAATAAGGGCAATATATTATTTACTTGGCATTGCCTTTTGCTAGCCTTAGACAAAAGACCTTGGGATCTCTTTGTTTGTAGGCCATTGACTGGTATGGGAAACAATCAGCACAGTCGATAACTCATGGCTCGGGCTCTTTGCTTAGGTAAAGCAAAGGTCAAATGTCTTTTGTACCATGGGTGCCAGTACCCATGCTACCTATGCATACCTGCTAGAAATATATAAAATATAGAACTTTGATCAAATGTACACAGATTTGCAGATTGTCCAAGACTTAACTCTTATTATATCATTCTTTAAGATCATCTGGGGAGGCTCCACTCTCACTTCTGCCACCGTCTCAAGCACGGCTGGTGGGAATGAGAGAAAGGGCCTTCTCAGTGGCGTCCCCTCGGCTATGGAACTCGCTACCCAAGGAGATTAGAGTGGCACCTACCCTCTCAATTTTCCGCAAGGAATTAAACACCTGGATGTTCCACTGTGCATTTGATTACGCAGTTAACCAGAGAATAGGATCGATCTCACCATAGCTCTTTGCACTTTCATTGGCCCTCCCACCTGTAATCCTGTTACTGTAAATGCCTAAGGGCGTTATCCCCCTATCTATGAACTGAATTGAAGTGTTCAACAATACATTGAATTGAAGTGCATTCTGCACTTTCCCTGAGCTCCGTCTAGGAACGACTGCACATTCTTGATTTTCTGCACTCAGCACTTAATCTTTTAGCCAACTTTCAGTTTTCAAAAAGATATTTTGTGATTTTAATGTTTTTCTGGTGTTGGTGATTTTATTTTGTTTCATTTTTATTTTATTGTGTGTGTTTTAATTTGTATTTTTGGGCTTGTCCCCTTGTAAGCCACTCTGAGTCCCTTTGGGGAGATGGTGGCAGGATATAAAAATAAAGTTGTTGTTGTTGTTGTTGTTGTTGTTGTTCCACCCTGGTGTCCTTGGCAAAACTATAAATTCCCTGGTTATAAACTATCTTTTATTGGGGGGGGGGTCACCTTTGACTACATTGATCTGCTCCCCTACTCCTCCATGCACGAATTCATTATTCAAAGGGGTTTCAAAGCTAGATTTGCAAAGTTACATTGGCAGAATTATTTAAAAAAGAAAAAAAATATGCTGCTAACCCTTTATGAATATTTAACAATGCTTCATTTTCTATCCACCCTGCCCTACAGTATTATTATGGGGTGAAAGTGCAAAAAGGTATGCAGTGTCTTTTGTGCTTCATGACTCCAACATTGACCAATCCTGTATTTTGGTGGGCTGTTTGAGAGTTCTGCTCAGTGTCCGTAAAGAATTCCATTTTACAGATCCAAATTTCATACTAGACATCAAAGAGCCCATTACCTGAAACCGCCCCCCCAACATGTTATTTTCTGCTCACAAAAATTATTTAAAATATAAGTTTGGCAATCCTCCACTCATTCCTATTTCCTAGTACGCATTTGTGACTGTCCCACAGGGGAAAAGTGCCTTCCCTTTTTGTACACTTCCTTCTTCGTTTTGTCTCACTGTGTTCCTCGTGCACAGTAATAAGTTGCTGAGTCTGCAGCTGTCAGAGATCTCAACTCCAGATAATACTCATTTTTGGAGGAATCAGCTGTGAGAGTGGATCGGCTTTGCACAGATGGGTTATAGTATGTGCGCCTTATCGCTATCCCAGTCTATCTCGCCCAACCATTCCAGTCCTTTTCCAGGAGCCTGACGAACCCAATCCCACAATACATTTTTCACAGAATCTCCAGTAACAGTGCAAGTTAGATGGAGGGATTGCCCAGGTTGCAGAATATTTGGCCCAGATTCCACAAGTTGGACACTGGAGTGAACACCTAAAGCCAAGAACAAAACAGCTATTAGTGTTGCGTCTCAGAATAGCTTCACCTTGCTCTCTGACAAACCAGCCAAGTTTAAGAAGAAAGTAGTTTATTGAAGTTGCAAATAAATCCAAGTAAAACAATGAAAAGTTCAAAGTACAAATTATAAGTCCAAAAGGGTTTCTTGAAATAAGGCAGGAACATGAAGCATGGCTTAGCATGAAGTTACAGGAAGCAGGCAATCCCCCCCAAGCCCAAGCTCAGGGCCGTAGGAACAGCGATCCATTCTAGCGAAGTTGAACAGACACTGAACCAACTTTCCAGAAGCACTTTATAGGCAAAAGCATCAAAACATTGCATTAAAACAATCTCTAACAAGCAGTGTTTCCCACCGGCAGATGGCCTCGAGATCTGGCTGCAATCCTCAAGCTGCGCCGCCTCCCCACCACCTGTGGCTCAAGTGTGTTGCTGCTCCGACCTTGACCGATATCAGCCACATTCCTTTCCCTTGAGAACACAGGCCTCTCTCTAGTTACAGACTGTGGCTGGGAAAGCTGAGGACTCTGAAATCCCACAGGCCCAGAACCATCATGCCCACTTGTACTCTCAATCCCATCATGCTGTTGCTGAACTACAACAATTAGTAACATATACACATGCCCTTCTTTGCATTTGTCTAGAACTTTTGGTTCCCCAGGTGTTTTGGACTTCCCCTCCCTAACAGCTTGTAAGCTGGCTGGGATTTCTGAGAGTTAAAGTCCAAAACACCTGGAGGATCAATGGTTAGTCTCTATTGATCTTGATGATACTCACGCAGTGGAGCCGTGAACAGTGAAATCAAAAGATAGGAAAGCTTCATTGTTGAGAATGAGGACCCTCCCCCTTGGTGTAATGGCAGATATGCATCTCCAGCGACTTGTCAAAATGTGTTAAAATGAAAGGGCAATTTGCATGCGATTTTCATGTAATGAAATTGTAACTGATAAGAAGCAAGTGGTCTGAAGATCTCAGAGAAGTCTCAAATCTGAGGTTCTTCCTAGCCATAACAAAGACAGAGCTCTACCCAATATGATTAGGGATACAAATCATGGCTAAAGATGCTTCTATACTCTAGAGTTAAAGCAATTTAATACCATTCTAGTTGCCTTGGCTCAATGGTGGGATATCATGGGAGCTGTAATTTGGCAAGGCACAAGCACTGTTCAATAAGGAGGGTTAAAGGCATTACAAAAACAGGATTTTGGCGCAGCTGGCTGAGTGTCAGCTGCATTAAGATCACTCTGACCAAAAGGTCATGAGTTCGAAGCCAGCCTAGGTTGGAGTGGGCTTCCAACCAATTGTGTAGCCTGTATTGTCAAAGGCTTTCATGGCTGGGATCACTGGGTTGCTGTAGTTTTTCGGGCTATATGGCCATGTTCTGAGGCATTCTCTCCTGACTTAGTCCTTTGTTTCACCCTGGTCATTCCACAGATAAATAAACCCATTTTTCCTACTTCCAACAGACCTCACTACCTCTGAGGATGCTTGCCATAGATGCAGGTGAAATGTCAGGAGAAAAATTGCCTCCAGAACATGGCCATATAGCCCGGAAAAACCTACAACAACCGAATTGTGTAGCATGTTCTCTACTATTGCAACCCGAAAGACAGTTGCATCTGTCAAGTAGGAAAATTAGGTACCACTTTGTGTGGGGAGGCTAAATTAACTAATTTATGAGTCCATAAAAAAGACTCCAGCAAAGCACTCCAGCAAAAGCATGCGGGGAATGCGGAAGTACTTCATCAGTGTCGCAGATGGACAATGAAAGCGACAGCTCCCTTGGCGGCCAGAAAACGTTAAATAGCCTCTGTGCATGTATGTCTGTATATGTTGTATGTCAGATTGGCATTGAATGTTTACCATATATGTGTACATTGTAATCCGCCCTGAGTCCCCTGCGGGGTGAGAAGGGCAGAATATAAATACTGTAAATAAATAAATAAATAAATAAATAAATAAAACTACAACTCCCACGATACTATAGCATTGAGCCAAGGCAGGAAAAATGGTTAAACTGCATAAATCCTATATTGTAGAGGCACTTCTGGTTGATCTTCAATGGGAAAGGAAGACCACTTTCCCCCACTGCAAGACACAGCCTATTTTGAGGCAGAATTTGCCCCTGTTTCAAATGGATTTTATTATTGATTCATTGGTATTAGACATTGGGGGAAAATTGGAATTACACATGTTTTATGATTTAATGAGTTGGATTTTAAAAACATATAATTCCAAGGAATTCAAAATGAAAAATGCAATGACTCATACAAGTATCTTTTTATATAGGAAAAAAGTAGGTTTCCATTTCAGAAGAGAAGGATTTCTACTAAGATTTGTAGTATCAACCTCAATGTTATTCAGTGAGCTGGAGATTGTTTTGGAGCAAAGGCTGGTTTTTGTCTGGCTCCTGTTTTACTTCCTCTCACTGTGACCCTTGCACAGTAATATGTGGCAGTGTCTTCTGTTTTCAGGTCATTCATTTGCAGATAGAGCATGCTTGAAGGGTTGTTCCTGGAGATGGTGAAGCGCCCTTTCACTGAGTCTGCATAGTATTGCTCACTCGCATCATACCATATAACTGCAATCCATTCCAGCCCCTTTCCAGGAGCCTGTCTTATCCAATGCATGCCATAGTCTCCAAAGTTGAACCCTGATCCCTGGCAGGACAGACGGAGGGATTCTCCAGGTCTTTTCACATCTCCTCCTGATTGCACTAGTTGAATGTCTGATTGGATGCCTGGAAAGAAAGAGGAGTGATCAAACTTAATGGCCATTAAGAATTACATCATGCCTTTCTGCCAAATTGATGTAGCTTAAATATGTTTACCCCGTATGACAGCTAAATGGAAAATTATCTGAAGGAATAATATCATGATCCTTCCTGATTGTCAATGAGTTAACAAGCTGGGAAATAGCCACAGACAAACACAGGTATTGTGTATGAGGTGGAACTGGAGCAAATACAGTGTTGGCCAGATTTAAACAGGAGGTTGGCTCTATATTTGCATAAATGTCGGCATAAAATAGGAAAGCAGCTCTTTCTTTGCATTATAAAGTGTTATATTCTTATTCAAGAGAACACCTATCTTGGAATATGTAGTTTCTGCAGCATGACTTCACAGTCAACCTGAGGACCAACAACTCCCTAAAGAGATCTTCTGTCCAGGAAACCTAATACCCTCCAGTAGCTTGCATTATTGTTGTTTTATATACTTATGTATTTGTTGTATTGCATGTGTGTTGCACTTCTGAGTGCTTTTGTGAGCCACCTTGAGTCTCTTCAGGAGATCATGGCAGGATATAAATAAAGTTATTATTATTATTATTATTATTATTATTATTATTATTATTATTATTGTGGGGTGTCCAGAGATTCATTGAGAACAATTTAATCAAATCTATTAAAATCTACAAAAGTGAAAAACACAAATATGGAGGGACACTTGTATATCAAATTGCAGAATCTATTTCATACAGTTGGAAGCGACAGCAAATCCAATCCCCTTCTGTCATGCGGCAGTACATAAGCATTCCAGACAGATGGCCATATCACCTGTTTCAAAACCTCCAGAGAAAGAGATCCCAATATACTCCCAGCCATCATATTCTATTATTGAGGTACTTTTGCCATCAGGAAGGTCTTTCTAATTTTTAGGAAGAATTCATTTTATTGGATTTTGAATCCATTGATCCTAGTCTCTGGAGCAGGAGAATAGAAGTTTTCTCCCTAATTAATATGGCTTCTTTTTAAATATATACAAATGTCTATTGTGGTTCCTTCTAACCATCTCTATGCTGTGCTCAGTTTGAATGTGGATTCTTACTTACTGATGCAAATAATAGTGTCAGCTTTAATAAATCATCATAATCATCATTGGTAATCCAAGTGTAGGATCTTGGAGTTGCGACCTATTTTTGACTTACATGTTCTTCTGCAGTGAGGACATAGGTTTCCAGATGGAAGGCGGTCCCGGTCAGGGTTGGCTTGACGCACCTCCCTCTTAACATGTTTTTCCCTTTCTCCCTCCTCTTCGAATTCCACATTTAATATGTGGCCCTTGCTGGAGAATGTTAGATGAGTTCTAGCTGACATTGTTCTTAGTTCTTCACTTCTCAAAGTTGAAAGGGTCTTGTCCTCTGGTGTCTGTGAAGCAACCAGTAGAACAGACATTTTATACAGACTAGGAGACAGGAAAGCTTAGAGAAGACAATGATGCTGGGGAAAGTGGAAGGCAAAAGGAAGAGGGGCCAACAAGGGCAAGATGGATGGATGGCATCCTTGAAGTGACTGGACGGACCTTGAAGGAGCTGGGGGGGGTGACGGCCGACAGGGAGCTCTGGCGTGGGCTGGTCCATGAGGTCACGAAGAGTCGGAAGCGACTGAATGAATAAACAATAACCTACATATATTATGTGGAAATAAATATAAACCTGGGACTTGCTTCTGTGCAGAAATATATGGCTGTCTAAATCGAATACAGTTAAAGTTGTGTGTTTTTATTCACTTTAAGAGTCTAGAGTGGAAAAATATGTCATCTTTCCTTGGTATAACATTATGACAGCTCTGTGTGAATTCCATTATTCTTTTCATTTAATATGATTCATCCTACTTGTGTCCCTCCTTCAATTCATACAGATAAAGAAGAAGATGTGTGACTTACAGTTCTCACTTACTTTCTAACACAGATTGTAGGAATGATTAATTCAAAAGAGGAAATGGAAATTTCTATGTGATCTAAGGAATTCTATTTAGGGCATAGATGGTCAAAGAGTATTCCTCTCAATGGTGCTGGACAGGAATTCCCATCATGGCTAGATAACAATTTTGCAAAGTGCAGGGAGTTGTTCAAACAACAGCAACAACAACAACAACAACAACAACATAATAATAATAATAATAATAATAATAATACTTTATTTATACCCTGCCACCATCTCACCAAGGGCACTCGGGGCGGCTTACATGAGGTCACGCCCAGTAAACACAATATAACACAAAAACACAACAGAAAATGGGAAAATAAAATAACATAAAATACAAAACCAATGTAAATAAGCAGCACAACAATATGAAATCAAAACACTAAAAATGATCACAGTGGGCAGGGCCAAATTCAAAGATTAAAATTTTAAAACACTGGGAGATAGGGCAATGTAAAATATCAGGAAGGGGATCCAGGGGATAAGGTAGGATTTAATTGCCCAAACTAGAAAATAAAGTGCTTCTGAGGGTATTTTATGCAAAGTTTGGTCAGGGAGTATCATACATTCAATCATTGAAGGCGCATTGGAACAGCCAAGTTTTCAGGCTCCTCCTGAAGATTACCAAGGTGGGGGCTTGCCTGATATCTCTGGGGAGCAAATTCCAGAGCCAAGGGGCCACCACAGAGAAGGCCCTAACCCCACAAGTCGTGCTTGGGATGAGGGCAGGAGTGAGATAAGGGCCTCTCTGGAAGAACGAAGAGGTCATGTGGGTTCGTAGACAGAAATACGGTTGCGCAGGTAGGTGGGTCCCAAACCATTCAGGGCTTTGTAGGTCAGAACCTGCACCTTGAATTGGGCCCGGAAAATAAATGGCAGCCATTGGAGCTCCTTAAACAGGGGGTTGACCACTCCCTGTAACTTGCACCAGTTAGTAGTCTGGCTGCCGCTCGTTGGACCAGTTGGAATTTCCAGGCTGTCTTCAAGGGCATCCCCACGTAGAGCGTATTGCAATAGTCCAATCTAGAGATAACTAAGGCATGGACCACCATGTCCAAATCTGACTTCACGAGGTACAGTCATAGCTGGCACACAAGCTTCAATTGTGCGAAGGCCCTCCCAGCCACCTCCGATGCCTGGGCTTCAAGCAT